TTCAAGTGAAAATTACGTTAAGCCTTGGTTTCTTCATCCTCAAAAGTAGATACTGATGTCTCTAGCTCGGTGTTACAAGGATTAGGTAAGGAGTACTAATGCTTGGCAAAATATAGAGGAACACAATCTATTCTCATTATTTTAAAAGAAGCCAGGTTACTCATTTTCTTCTGGTTTAAAGTCTTTAGGGTAGTCCCTTAGGTTTAAAGTTGAACCACAACATCTTATACAGTATAATTAGACATGTGTTTGGTTTGGACTCAACTATCTAAAATTAATTAAGACGGCACAAACTAAATGAGCTGGCCCTGCCCGGCGCCACCCGCCCCGCGCCTATCCCCAGCCTGAGGCTCGGCCCCCTTCGCCCGTGTCCATCACTCTGTGCGGAAATGCCGCCAGCACGTCAGACAAGCTGCCTTACAAAGTCGCTGACATCAGCCTGGCCGCCTGGGGATGCAAGGCCCTGGACCTTGCAGGGAATGAGATGCCGGGCCTGACGTGCATGTGGGAGATGTACTCGGCCTCCAAACCACTGAAGGGCGCCCTCACTGCCGGCTGCCTGCACATGACCGTGGAGACAGCTGTCCTCATTGGGACCCTCGTTGCCCTGGGTGCTGAGGTGCGGTGGTCCAGCTGCAATGTCTTCTCCACCCAGGACCATGCAGCAGCTGCCATTGTCAAGGCTGGCATTCCAGTGTACGCCTGGAAGGGTGAAACGGACGAGGAGTATCTGTGGTGCATTGAGCAGACGCTGTACTTCAAGGACGGGCCCCTCAACATGATTCTGGACGATGGTGGTGACCTCACCAACCTCATCCACACCAAGTACCCACAGCTCCTTGTCAGGCATCTGAGGCATCTCTGGAGAGACCACAACGGGGGTCTACAACCTGTATAAGATGGGCCCGCGTCATCATCACGGAGATTGACCCCATCAATGCGCTTTAGGCTGCCATGGAGGGCTATGACGTTACCGTCATGGATGAGGCCTGTCAGGAGGGCAACATCTTTGTCACCACCACGGGCTGTATCGACATCATCCTCGGCCGGCACTTTGAACAGATGAAAGATGACGCCATTGTGTGGAACATCGGACACTTTAACGTGGAGACTGATGTCAAGTGGCTGAATGAGAACGCTGTGGAGAAGGTGAACATCAAGCCCCAGGTGGACCGTTACTTGTTGAAGAACGGGCACTGCATCATCCTTCTGGCCGAGGGCCGGCTGGTCAACCTGGGCTGCGCCATGGGCCACCCCAGCTTCGTGATGAGCAACTCCTTCACCAACCAGGTGCTGGCGCAGATTGAGCTCTAACAGACAAGTACCCTGTCGGGGTCCACTTTCTGCCCAAGAAGTTGGATGAAGCAGTGGCTGAAGCCCACCTGGGCAAGCTGAATGTGAAGCTGACTGAGAAGCAGGCCCAGTACCTGGGCATGTCCCGTGATGGCCCCTTCAAACCTGATCACTACCACTATTGAGAACCAGGCCCGCCCTTTACCTTCCAGCTGCTGTCCTTGCCTGGGTCCCACCTCTCCTCCCCAAGAGCAAATGGCACCACCTTTGAGATTGGTTTGATAATGTTCCCCATCAACTCCCTGGGGCTAGTCAGTCTTTGGCCTCTGCTGCATCCCTCATACTGTTCCAAGTGTGGCAGGGGGAATTGAGAAGTCCCTCCTCAAGCCCTGGTCATGATAGAGATACATGGGAGTTACCCACAGGGAACCATGAGCTCAGGGGTTTTGGAACCGCTCACTCAGTCCGTCCTTAGGCTGGAAGTTGGCAGTGGTGTTCACAAAGCCCACGCACTTTACCATCCAGGCCCTCACTTGGCCTATGGAGTTATACCCATGTTCTTGGTTTACAGGCTCGTCGGTTCCTCAGCCCATGACAGATGAGAAGGAGCTATGTCAAAGGGTGTGGAGGAACTGCTGGCGATTGAATGCTCCTGAGAGCCCGGCTTAGTGCTTGGCATTCTCTTAAACCTCAGAACCATGAGGTTGGTACTTTTAGTCCCTATTTCACAGGGGTTGGAATATATTGTTAAGGGATAGCCAAGAAAGCACGAGAGAAGTGATAGCCAGAGGTTGAGAGGGGCCAAAGAAACGCAAAAGCACATTGTAACTTGATGGTTCCCATCACAACTCTGGGTCAAAAAGAGATTAATTTGGTTTATAATGTCAAAAGAGAGCAAGAAGGTGGGTTAATAAAAATTTTGGTGCCTAAAAAAAAAAAAAATGAGCTGAACCCCAGTGTTAGGTGGGGCTTTCTATGGTCCACACAGAGTGGGAGTGGTGTCAGCAATGAGAGGGTTTTTAAAAAGGCCACATGGGGGGCTCCCCCGCTGGCACAGTGGTTGAGAATCCGCCTGCCAATGCAGGGGACATAGGTTCAAGCCCTGGCCTGGGAAGATCCCACATGCCACGGAGCAACTGGGCCCGTGAGCCACAACTACTGAGCCTGTGCGTCTGGAGCCTGTGCCCCGCAACAAGAGAGGCCGCGACAGTGAGAGGCCCGCGCACCGCGATGAAGAGTGGCCCCCACTCGCCACAGCTAGAGAAAGCCCTCGCACAGAAACGAAGACCCAACACAGCCAAAAACAAACAAACAAAAAAGCCACATGGCACTTCTGTCATAGAGTTTTTGATGAACACTGAGGAAGGAATTTCACCCTTACCAGCTTGCCTTATTTGTATTCTTAGCTCATGCCACAATGCTTAGAATATATCAAGTACTTAATACACGCTGATTGAGGCAAACTGTCTGAGGTACAGTACAGCAGGTAATCAAATGGGCCGGGGTGGGAAAAGGTCCTAAGGAGGAGAGCCTCCCTGGAGCAACGAGGACCTGCCTGACAGCAAGTTGGTCATGGCCACGGGCATCCTGAAGGCAGGGTGCGGGCCTTGTCCAGCCTGGGGAGAGAGTGGGCCGAAGGCAGAGAAGCCCAAGCGGTGCAGAGCCTGTGGGCACCTGTAGCTGGACCGCTGGATGCAGTGGCCGGTGTGAGAGCAGGACTAGGCCTGGGAGCACTGGGCAGGAGAGCCTGGGACCAGAGTGGTCAAGCAAACCAACTAGAGGAGCAGGATCCGGGTGATACCTGACCCCAGGGCCACGGGCCCTAAGAGGCTCAGGCAGAGAACAGGATCCCTATCTCTCCCGAGAGATCACGGTTCTGAGGAGGGGACAGAGGAAGCAGGAGAGAAGAATGCAGTGAGCCCTCCAGCAGACAGGGAGCAGGGAAAATGCCCAGGCCCGGCCGAGGGGTGTTCTGGTGCCCAGTGCCACACGTGAAAGTGACTGCTGTGGGCAGCCTGATAAGGCCGAGAGAAGTATCTCCCGCTCAGCAGTGCAGAGCAGTGCATGGCTGGGCTGGGCTGGGCATGGGGAGAGCTGGACGCCAGGAGTGGGGCAGCAGCAGCAATAGCGGCGGTGGTGGCGGCAGCAGGTGAGGCAGAAAGCCCTGGAAAGTGGACTGAGGTAATGCAGAGGGGGTCTGAGGAGCCCCGCAGCCAGCATACTGCTAGAGACATTGCTACCAGCAGAAAACGCCGTTCAGGTGAAGACCAGTGTGGAACCCAAGGAGAGGATGTCGAAGACCAGGACCAGGGTTGAGACTTTTCCTCTAGCCACCCCTGGCCAGAAGATTTTTCCAATCCCTAGTAAGGAGGGATTAGTAGTTAAACAAAAATCAACCTGCATTACACATCATATATTTAGTTCTATAAAGATCCAAGTTCATTGTTAAGTAAACTGTATAGTGTTCACCCTAATGTTGCTTTCCTCCCCAGCCCCTTAACCAGATTCCAAGTTCAAGAACCCCATCAGGTGCTGTGACATGGAAATGGGTGAAGCCACTGGCCCTGATGTTAGGATCTTGGAGCCAAGTAACTGAGCCATCAGGCCCCAAGTCACGCAGACCCTGGCTAAGCCGGTTCCGTCCTCCCTTCGGGGATGGCTAGGAGACCAAGTTTCATACAGTGGCCCTTGAACAGGGATCTTCCCTGCCTGGGGTAGCCAGGTAGGCCCTCTGATGAAATGGAGCCTGCTTGAGGGGAGCTGGTCTACCATTTCAGCAGGTGGTATACTGATTCTATTTGTAAGTGATAAGGGATTTTTGGTACAGGTTGGTCTTAGAAATGGGAGGCCTGGGAGTCACACGGGCATCCACAAGCCTCTCTGGTAACCTGCCCTGATGTCTACAACTCCCAAATCCTTCCTACTGGGCTTTGAGTCCCACTTCTTCTTAGGTTGTCCTCAGAGGTGAAAACTAGCTTGTTAGCATTTTTGATGTAAGGCCTTTGGCTTTCTCCTTTTCAAGTTTAACAATTTCTATTGCTTCTAGTGTAGGACGTATCTGCAGATCATCTAATCGTCTCTGCGTCTAGCTCTGAGTCCTCTCCAAGTTCTCCATATGCCTCCTAGTTTTAGCTCAGGGTCAGGCATTGTCCCTCAGTAAAGAGATGGCAGAGGCTAAGAACCACCACGGGTCTCTATCCCTGCTCTGCCTGGCATCCCCTGGGGCTCGCTCATGCTTGCATTCATAAAGCTGGTGCTGTATTTCGGACCCAGGCCCCAGGATCAAAATTTCTTGCTGGCGATTAACGTAAGATGCTGGCAGAGACTCTGATGGTCTAGTGTGAGCTGTACCAAGAGAGGAAAGGTGGCTGCTGTGTTAAAGCGCCAGTCTCATCCTGAGTCAGACTCCTGTAGGATTTCTGGCAGGCACAGACCCGACTGGGCACTTTATTGAGCTTCTGAGTATACCGAATCTCATAAGAGAACAGTCTCTACTTCTTAAATACACTGTGTGTGCCCTGAGTGCAACGATTAGTCAGCTTGCATTCTAGACGGTTAGCTCATGGTGCCTTCATTGCCGATACTTTCCTGTAGCTTACTATTCAATTATTATGTGACCTGTGATGTTCTGATGCCATTTTTCATTTCAGAACCTGAGCTTAGCATGCAGGCAGGACGACAGGGCGCCAGGGTTGGCTAGGCATTACCTGAGGCTCCACGTCCAGTATTGCGATCAGCCCTTGCTCATGGATCTTCCGGATGGTCTCCAGTTTTGTCCCGTACATTGCATCCTCGTGGCTGCCATACTCCAGGTACTCGTTATTAGAGATGTCTTGCATCATTTGGTCATGAGATACAAAGTAATAGTTCTTTCCATTTTCTTCATCTTTCTTTGGAGGTCTGGTGGTGTCTGCAAAGTTACATGTCAAGAGAGGTTTAAAAGGCTGAGCTTATGAGCTGATGCTCCCAATGGACCTACCCAGACTCAATCTCCTCTTAAAAGCTATGGATTCTGTAGTATGTCTCATGCCCTGTTCCCACCCCCAGTAGCTTTGTAGAACTAAATTCTAGAAGTCATATTTGTTTATGTGACATCGGACCACAGTAGTTGGTTAGTTGTTTGGTTTGGTGAATCTTTCTGTGTTTAGGTGAGATCTATTTCGTCCCTTCATGGGTCACCACAGGGGAAAGACACTAAATGACCCAGGGTTAACATAACTCACTCTATGCCTTAATGCAGTTAGGTCTTAAGAGAAGGAAACAAGAAGAATTTAAAAAAATGGAAAACCACATATGGTTATTTAAATTTAAGTAAATTAAAATCAAATAAAATTAAAAATTCAGTTCATCAGTCTCACTAGCCACATTTCAGGGGTTCAATACCCACATGTGGTTAATGGCTACTGTACTGGACAGTGCAGATGTCTAATGCTGTCATTATGAGAGAACGTTCTATTGAACAGTGCTGGTATACAGCATCATGCAAAAGGAGAATGTCAGGATACAGCAAAAGGGATACCATATTGAAAATATAATGACCATAGCCAGATATGGCCATAATAGTTAGGAAAGACCTAAAGCAGGAATTGGCAAACTAGGGCCTGTAGGCCAAATACGGCCCACTGTCTGTTCTTGTAAATAAAGTTTTATTGGAAAAGAGCCATGCTCATTTGTTTACATATTGTCTGTGGCTGCTTTCACAATGGCAGAGTTGAGCAGTTGTGTCAGAGACCATATGGCCTTCAAATCCTCAAATATTTGCTGTTTCGTCCTTTACAGAAAAGGTTTGCTGACCCCTGACCTAAGCGAGTGTATACTAAAATATCTGCCAATAAGTCCTAGTTCTGTGGGATACTAATAGGACCAGGATTCTGCAAAACACACTTTAGGAAATGTTTTTCTAGACAAGCCAGGAACAGCAGTTTTAGTTTTCTTTCTCCCTTTGCTTCTTTCCTTTTTTGAGCAAGAACAAATTCATGCTATTCTTTGTTGTACATGAGTCCAAACCCAGGGGGAGTTTCCCCTCTCCTGCCCCAACTAGACTGTAGAACTGCCAAGTGCTCATGGACATCAAAATGTGGATGTTTTAAAGAAGAACCCTTTCTCCAGGCACATGAAAAGCTGAAGAAACAGCATACTATGTTGATGCTGTCCTATCTTCGGTCATTTCGGTAGGTAAACATACGCTATGTATACACCCAGGGTCAAATATTACAGCAAGTAGACATGATTGGGGTCAGCAGTAACACACTTTAAAACCAAGCTAGTTAATTGGCCATTTAATAACATGGAAGTTCAATTGCTTATGTGATCAAGAAGAAACTAAATGTTAGTGAAGCTTGCTGTATTCATGATCTAGACATAAAGAGAATTAAAAGAACATTTTAAAGCGTTTTACTAGAAAACTCCAGTGGTACCAACTGAAAGAATATTTGATGAATTTCTTTTTTGAGTAAATCAGACAGGGTTCTGGGATGAGAGTGGTCTTATGAAGCCTCACAGCTCTCTGGGATGTAGAGAAAACAGTAAATGGTGCTGACATGGCATTGGAGGGCCCTACAGGATGGAGCCAATCTTCCCATTTTTTCCTATTGCTCTTTTTCCCGACCAGTGATTAAACCCGGGCCCTCGGCAGTTGAAAGCGCAGAGTCCTAACCACCGGACCGCCAGGGAATTCACTCTCCTGTTGCTCTTAAAAATCATTCTCCTTTAGCTCTTCCCACCCCGAACAAAGCTCTAACTGCTAAAAAGCTTTTGGGATTCAAATTTTAAACTTTGGAATAATAATAATAATAAAAAATAAAATAAAATGATGGTAGCAAGATGGCTATTATCTATCCAGTATCTGCTAAGTGTTCATATGATCTCAAATCCTCTTTATTTTCCTGGAATTACTTCGTTTTGTAGTTGAGGAAACAAAGAAGACAAGAGGTTAAGGATAAGATATAGAAAATAAGGGGAATAAAAATATTACAGAGTTAAAATTCTTTACAATAAACAATGGATAGCACATTGGGTTTTAAAAGTGATAAAAGTCAAGAATTTAGGTACAGATTAAGGAAAATATTGTTATATCAAAGAAAATTATACTATCATTAAAACCTATTTTTCTGAAGAATAATTCATCTGGGTAACATTTATGGCATATTGTTGGAAAAATTAGATTACAAATAGACTGAACGAGCTCAGTCTTGTTAAACGACAACAATGATAACAACACACACACACACACACACACACACACACACACACACACACACACA